TAATTCTTAGTTAGACCCCTTGTTTGCCTAATTAAATCTGTATTTTGTCAACTATAACTAAGTTAAGAGAAGCAAAACATGTTATGATTATACCGAAATTTAAAGTTTTGTCGAAGAAATCTTCCCACTTATGCATTAATTATATTCTTCCATTTCAATAGTCGGAAAAGAGATAACAACGCTTGCAAGTTGCAACAGATAACGAAGATATTGAAGTTTATATTTAGTTTTACGAAAAACGCAACAGCCTTTAAAAAAATAAACGGTTAAAACCAAAACTAGCGGTGGTGATTTATAGTGTGACAAATGGTAAAATAAAAATAAAAAATTCACTTGTCATTTTGGAAGTTTACTGATGAATAATATTCATACTCAAAATATATATTCTTACATATTTCTTTGTTAATATACATATAATTTTAGGTACAAGTTACATTTAACGGTTATAAATCATGATTGTTTCAAGTTATTTTACCATGTATAGATAAATAATATGTTTTTCTATATTTATTATAAGATTACAAATTTTATTCTTAGACATAACATATTTTTGGAAATGAAATAATTTTCATATTTTTATTCTCAAGGATGGAGATGTATAAATTGATTCTCATAACGTGAAGCTATATTTATTTATTTATTTCAACTTTCTTCACACTCATTTTCGTAAAATATTTTTATTACGTACTAACTATTTTTTTTTTCTGAATAAAAAAATGTCACTTTTGTTATTATATTTCTAAAAATATTGTATTTAAGAATAAAAATTGACAACTTCAAGCAAACGCTATTATTGAGTAATGAATGTTTTTAGCTCTTTTTAATAAAGAAGTCTTCAAAATTTTTCATAAAGCCATAACTAAGTTAAGGAGTTAACTCTTTTAAATTATTTGTTATATTATTTACTTTAATATATGCTTAGTATATAATAATATTATTTCATCCTTTGATATTTTTATAAACTCTGGTTATAATACAACTTATTAAATGTCATCCATATCACCCTCCACATTTTCAAAAGATTTTTTTTTGGTATATTAAAAGACTAGTTTTTAATTGCACACAAGTATTATAACTATTTTTCCAATACTAAATTTTACTGTTATTTTCTGTATAAGAAATGAACATGGATTCCTAAATGTTCTTTAATCATTGGTTTGACAAAAGTAAATTATTTTTTATTCATCTATCCACAATTTAAAATGTCAAAAGAATCAATCATAACTATACAGTTATAAAAATATTCAATGATAATAACCTCATATAAAATATAATTATTGTAAACAATAATGTTACCTAATTTAGTTTTGAATATACCATTAATCATTCCTTCATCATACTTAAATAACAATTTCAATAATATAAGTTGTTTTTCTTGAAAAAATAGATTAGATGAAATAAATTAAGTGCAAATTATTGATGGATCCAAAAATTTTAAGTTGAAAATAATATTCATAAATATAGAATAATATTTTTAATATGTACATTATATATCAGTAATTTAAATACTTGTATAATTAAAATTCTTAATAAATAATAATATTATTATTGAACGTGTAGATTAACTAATATTAGATTATTTTTGTTTAATTCTTAATTTCAATTCTATATCATTGAACTATAAATATATTAATTATTTCAAGTAAGAAATATAATGGTTCTACTCAATTTGAGCAACATTGTTTTTTGGTGAAGGGCACTTTAAAAAGTATATATAAATATGTAATTTTTAGAACTTTAATTTATAATAAAAGAAAATTAAATTTCAATATAAGATGATTTTTAATTATTGATAATTTTCTTTAAAATAATATTAAAATATAATTTTAAAATACATTTAAAGATTTGAAAACATTAAATAGATTTAGAAAGTTAAGTACATGAATCAGTTTTAAAAATCAGACCAATCCAATAGCTATAATTTTTTTTTAGAGCATCTCAAAAACATGAGAATCAGTTAAATTGACCCAAAATCATTGAAAATTGGTAAAAATTGATGTTAAAATAACTTATTTAAACTGGTCCAATTCAATTTAAAATATTTTTAGTGAAAAAACATATTTAATAAAAAGTTATTAATTGCAATATATTAATCATTTTTAATACTTTTCTTATAAAAATGCAATTTAATCATTTATATTAATTTACAATTTTTAATATCTTAACTTTTTATAATTTATATTATATTAATTTTACTTTTTTTTATAAACTTATTATTTTGAATGAACATTGTTATATTTATAAAAAAATTTAAACTTTAATATACTACATTTAGTTTGGACTTTTAAGTATACATACATAATGTATTATTTTAATTTTTAGTGCTTTAACATTATAATATTATACTTACTTGATATAATTTTTTGTATTAATAATAATTGTTATTTTATTAATAAAAAATTTAATTATAATTGAACTATTGTATCTTAAATCAGTGTGTAGGTGAGTTTAATTGTATTTTTAATTTTAAAAATATCAATATAAATTAAGATAATTTAAAATAGTTAAGAAAGATATACATTTTTTTAATCACGGAAAGAACACCTGAAGCTGAAAGTTTTCAAAATAAAGGAGAGAGAATTTTAAAAATGTCTAATTGCGAGAGTTATTGATAATCATGAATGCGCTTCCTTCTGGTTATGCCTCAACAAAAACTGGTGGTTAGCAAAATTTGTTTACTTTGCTGTATTCAAAATTTGTTTAGTGATGTTGAACATGGCTCTAATGAAGTTCTTGTTAGTTAGCAGTGACAAAAGTTGGATGAAAGATTTGGGAGTGTCAAATTAATTTTTTATATATAAATTAAATATTTTA